CTTCCTGAGCTCACATCGAGACTCCTGCCTACATTTCCCAGAATTCTCTTTGTCTCCTAGACCCAACTATCTTCCTGCTTCATTGGCCACAATGAGTGTTTTATTCATCAACCAATAAGAAAAGCATATGTACAGAAGGGCAATCCCCATCAGTGGGACTCCACAGCAAGACTCCTATCTCAATAAATAAATAAATGAACAAAGTAGGGTCTACAGAAGAATGTACCTGGGCTATACACAAGGATGAAGCTTTTTTAATACAGGACTTGAACATCTGAAGGTTTTAGTATTCCCAAGGGGCTATGCCCAATCCTCTGTGGGCACAGAGATGACTGTGTGCAACACACAAAGCAACAATGTTTCAGTAATTAAAAATGTTATAAACAATAATCTTTACCACTTTGGGGGAAAAGGTACATTGTCTAAGGTGTAAAAGTCAAAGATCAAGGCAGGTTATAACTGTCTAGAGAATGGATTATTGAAATGTATGAAGTTCAAAGGAAATTACTCAGATTGTAGCAGAGAGAGCAAAGGAGAAGAAAAATATGACAAGACAGTAAGAGACTCAGTCTGTCTATCATATGGTCAGTAAGACTCCAAATGGTATGATAGCTTTAGTGAGAATGGCCCCCACAGTCTCATATATTTGAATGCTTGGCCCCCAGTTGATGGAACTGTTCGGGAAGGATTTGGGTATTGGTAGAGGAGGTGTGTCATTCGGGAGGGCTTTCCAGTTAACTCTCTCTCTGTCTGTCTCTCTCTCTCTGCATCCTACTTGTAGATCAAGATGTGAGCTCTCAGCTGTTCCTGCTACCATGCCTTTCCTCCACCATCATGGATTCTAACCCTCTGGAATTGTACAGCCAATTAAACACTTTCTAAGTTGCCTTGGTCATGGTGTTTTGTCTCAGCAACAGGAAAGTAGCTAAGACAGAGGGTGTCTCAGTTAGGGTTTCTATTGCTATGAAGAGACACCATGACCACAGCTGAGGTGTTGGCTTACAGTTCTGAGGTTCAGTCCATTATTTTCATGGCAGGGAGCATGGTGGCACCCAAGTAGACATAGTGCTGGCTACATCTTGATCAGAAGGCAACAGGCAGTGGACTCAGACACTGGGGATATTGAGCATAGGAAACCCCAAAGCCCGCCTCCACAGTGACACACTTCCTCCAACAAAACCATACCTACTACAGTAAAACCACATCTCCTAATAGTGCTGTTCTCTTAGTTTATGGGGGCCAATTACATTCAAACTACCACAGAGGAAGAATGGGGGTAAAAAAAAAAATCAGTATTTGGTAATAAAGGCTGAGAACTTTCCAGAACTGATTAAAGAAGCCACAGATGCAAGAATCACAGTGAATTTAAATGAGCTAATAAGATAAATCATTGTCTTGATACACAATGATGACACTATATGACACAAATGATAAAGAATGTCTTTTAAACTGGTCCTGAAAAAGTGAGCATGGGCATCTGGCCCCATCCCTTATCTGCCATTTGGCAGTGTGGATGGGGGGAGAGCACCTCTGTGGCAGGCAGGAGAACTGGCTTTGAGATCATAAGGATGGGAGAGCTGTCCCTGCCCCTCACCAGCTGCAGCACTCAGGAGAGTGGTTCCTGCACCTCACCTGGGCAACATAGTAGAGCTGGCTCTGATGGTGTGTGGGAGAGCAGACCCTGAGGGCATGAAAGCAGAGGAACAGGCCCTGCCCCTTGCTCATTGCTGCATGGGTGAACTAGCCAGGGCAATGTTGGAGAGCTCACCCTGGTGGTGAAGACAGGGGAAAGCTGGCGGGCTGGCCAACCCTGCAACTACCCAGGTCCAGAACCAGGGGTTTGAGTTGGCCCACCCCAATATCTACCCCATCTGTGATCTGCTGGAGCACGTGAAGAGGTTGGTCCTGAAGTCCTAAGCTGCAGGATCTCCACAACACAGGGCGACAACAGGATATCCAAGAGGAGTCCAGCATCAATGGTGTAGCAGAAAGCAGGGGTCTTGAACCAGATCAATAAGTTTGCAATAAGCACTTGCAAGTAAGGATATATGGATAAATGGGTTTACTGCATGACTCACTGTGTAACACTACAGCTTCCACAATTTGTAGCATGAATTAAAAGAAACAATAAAAAAAAAAAAACAAAACAACAACAACAAAAACAGAGACAGATATTGGGGTTAAAGCTGAAGATCAGAAAAGCAAAGGAGCCAAGCCACTAGAGAGTTCTTACCTCTACCAATGCTCAGACCAAAGGGGTGGGGGGAATGATCCAGTCTTCAGTGTGACTGCAGACTGCAATGCTCTCCACCAAACCTCAGACTGCCCTGAGTGGCTGACACTGCACTGAGCTCCTGCCTTATATTCCTCTTTAATGCTGACCCAAGTGCTGGGTCAAAGCTGTGAGCTCTGTTTCTCTTTTAGACTGATTCACTCACATGCAAACCAGGTGGCCTTGAACTTACAGAGATCAATTTACCTCTGTCTCCCGAATGCTGGAATTAAAGATGTGGCCACCACTGCCTGTCCTCTATGGCTAACTAGTGGCTTAGGTATGTGGCTAACTAGTGGCTTTAGTGTGTGTGTGGCTAACTAGTGGCTTAGCTCTACATTCTGATCCTCAGGCAAGCTTTATTTGTTCCATTACAAACAAAATATCACTACAATGACCAGACTGACTTTTCTTTCTTTTCTTTTCTTTTTTTTTTTTTCTCTTAAATTTTATTTTATTTTAGCCAGGCCATGGTGATGCATGCCTTTAATCCTAGCATTCAAGAGGCAGAGGCAGGTGGATCTCTGTGAGTTCGAGGCCAGCCTGGTCTAAAAAGCAAGTTCCAGGATAGCTAGGACTGTTACATAGAGAAACCCTGTCTTGAAACCCCCCCCACGGGCAGGACAGACACACAGGAATAGAGAAATGAATGGGATCAAGATGTATGATGTGAAAGATACAAAGAATAAATAAGAAGAAAGTTACAAAATAGACCTGGGTTAGAAATCCAACTCTTTAAAAATGTCAAATTACAAAAGCATTCAATAAAAAGAAAATTTAAAAACAAAAAAGAATGTTTTTTAAAGGCATGGAAAAACTGGGGTGGGGTGAGAGGTCATCTTGGAAGGAGCCATAGATTCGACAGGAACAACGGAAATCAGAAGTTAACTACTGACCGCATATTTCTATAGCTAGTAAAGTTACATTTTAAAAAGGAAGCAAAATAGATATCCTCAGATAAGCAAAGACTGAAAGTTTGTCATGAGGAGACTCCTCCCACCCCACCCCCAGGAGCTGTACTCCAGACAAAAGACAAATGAATCCAGATGGGAGACTCGGATGCACAGGCCAAGTATGTGATCCAACTGAAGCAAAACTTTGCAGGGTCAAAAATGAAAAGCAAAAATGAAAACAGACCACAGAAATAGTCAGGAATCACCAAGGATAAGATGTCTTCAGGGGTGCTGAAAGGGAAAGTCAAGGCACAGGTTTCTATTAACAAGTTGCTGGTAGATATTATAATTTCTGGGATAACAGTCAGAAGGAAAATAGAGCATATAAATTATAAATGAGTGGAAGATGAGGAATGGTGTAGTAGTTTTAAAAAAGACGGCCCCAAAGGCAGTGGCATTTTAGGAGGCATGGTCTTCTTGGAGGAAGTGTGTCACTGTGGGGGTGGGCCTTGAGATCTCTTTGCTCAAGCTTCCCTCAGTGTGACAGTCAGTCAACTTCCTGTTCCTCAGCTCCAGCACCATATCTGCATGCACACCATACTCCCCGCCATGATGATAATGAACTGAACCTCTAAAACTGTAAGCAAGCCACCCGAATTAAATGTTTTACTTTATTAGAGTTGCCATGGTCATGGTCTCTTCATAGCAATAAAAATCCTTAGACCAACCAAGAAAGCAATGCACAAGTGAATAGTACACATGAGATTCCTTTTATGATTTTATTTATTTTTATGGATATGCACATGTGTTTGTGTGTGTGTGTGTGTGTGTGTGTGTGTGTGTGTGTGTGTGTGTGTGCAGTGCCCAGAAGGGGAAATCAGATCACTGGAGCTGGAGTTATAGAGGGTTATAAGTCGCCCATTGTGGGCTCTGAGAACTGAACTCAGGTCCTCTGAAAAACAGCAAGTGCTCCTAACCACTTAGCCACCTCTTCAACCCCCCCCACCCACATGCAGATTATGAGCCAAAGCAAACCACCTTTACTTGGGCCCTGACCCTGAAAATTTGTAGCTACATGAGGTTCAGAATATCATTCCATCTCTCTAAGATTGGGTTCCCTCAACTGTGAAGATATGCTGGGTATAATGATGGCTGCCTGCAAGGCAGAATGGTGGTCTGAAGATAGCCTAGGCTATGCTGATTTCACTGACAAACTTATAGCTGCAAATAATCCTCCTGCTGTGACTATAGGAACTGTAATCCTCCTGCCTCAGCTGCTCTCACAGCTGTGACTATGGGTACTGTAAGTGCAGGTCAGCACAGGAATCAAACATTCACTTAGGATCTTCACTAGAGCACCCCTCAAGCTGGAACAGCCAGTCTCCTTCACAGGCTTTCTTAGCACAAAGAGACCAATCTCTACCTGGTTCACAGACAGTCTTGGTTCAGAAATCCAGCCTCCAATCCTTTCCCTTTCCCCAGCCATTGCTAGGCCATAGCTTTGGGAACAACAGTGAAGGCACCATCTTCCTAGGCAAGAGGAGGTGGGTCCCAGGCCTTGAGCGGGCTTTTCAGCTCCATTGATTTCCACTATGGAGTTCTGCTCACTGCATCCCAAGCTGAGGCCTATCCTGGGCTCCTCAGACCTGAACAAACAATTCATTCCATACACCTTGAAATGTTATCAGTGTGTGTGTATATGCACGTGTGGGCTGTTCTTCTGGCTTGCTTCCCTGGTAACAAGAAAGACAGGAAGACACCATTACAAAGAATGAACAGTTGCTTGTTTACTCTTGTGTCCTAGGGAGGAGTTGTGATTAGGAGCAGAGACACCATTACAAAGAATGAACAGTTGCTTGTTTACTCTTGTGTCCTAGGGAGGAGTTGTGATTAGGAGCAGTCATGACTTCCCATCCTGTACACTATTCACAACACAGGCATCTGCTGGTCCCAATCCCACTGAACAGAGGACAGCAACAGCCCAGAAAAACATCAGTTTAAACACCTTCCCACTGCCAGCAGGGAGGGCAGGAAACAGTCCTTCAAGGCCAAAGCCAAGTGACAAAATCCTACCGACAAATGGCACATGCACATTCAGTCTTCTGTGGCCCCACATGTCCAGGTCATAGGGACAGTGGCTGCTTGTGAGGCAGAGGCTTGTTCATATGGGCTGGGTACTTGGATCCTGAGTATGACAAGGAGAGGCATCTTCCACTACTTGAGATTGACCTTCAAGCACCTGCCGCACCCTTTGCATCCCTGAGAAGAAGTGAGGAGTGGTCAGCACTGAGGCTGCTGGGGTCAGAAGCAGGGGTGCCCTGAAGCTGTTGGAAGGCTGGGGGAGGAGGCTGCTCACCCAGACAGAGCCGGTTCTCCTTGTCTGAGAAGACGATCCGGAACCAGCCAGGTTCTTTGCACTCAAAGGCCTTACCAAATGACAGCAGCACCTTGTTATCCAAAAATCGGCGCCAGAGCAACACCTCCTCTTCAAATGTGCCTTGACGAAGGTACTGAGAAGGCAGAATAGCTCAGAATGTAGGAGAACCCTCCAGTGCTTTCACCTGCCAAATGGAGACTTGACATTCCCTAAACCCACACCTCCACCCTATTTACCTTTCTCAAGTCAACCCAGATGAAGAAGCCTGCCCCACGGCTCACGAAGGGGATCCCCAAGGCTTTGAGCTCCTCTGAGACATAGGTATGAGCAGCCTTGAGCCGGGTGTGGTTTTCTGGCAAGTACACCTGGGTGATCCAGTCTAAATGGAAGAGAAGTGGGAATATAAAACTCCCATGCAGCGTTGCATTAATCTAAATGCTAAAAGACAAAAAGACACAGCAGTCTGCACCACATGAGTCCTTCTGCTAACTGGCTGAGAGTCACAGGTTCAGAAGGGCTGAGCGGTGTTCAGTGTTCAGTACAAGGTACCTCTGGTCTAGGTACGCAGCTCTGAGAATGCCAGGTCCTGAACCACATTCAGGAGCCCAGGGTACAAAGTTCCTCAGGATGGAAACCAAGCCAAAGTTGTCTGCAGTTATAAAGTGATACTTAGAACCACATAGACTAAGGCCCTGATCCCAATGGGGCATCTGGCAAAATGCTGACTTCAGCAACTTCATCTCTCTGGTCCTCATAAATTTATTAACTTCTTGTAAGGGGTGCACAGCTCTATGGATTATAAAATTATAAAAGCACCACCCCAACCATGACTTGGAGTGACCCCAAAGACTATCCTTATGCTATTTAGACTTATACCACACCCTTCCCCGTGACTAACATGTTATACGTCATGACAGTTTTCACTCCCAAATTCAGCAAAAGTAGCCTCATAGGACATATATTCTCTTGAGCCTTGCTTCTCCTAACAGCGCAGTGTCTTTGGGAGAAGTCCATACTGCCATGGATTTTACTGCATCAGTATTCTACAGTGTGGAAAGGACACATCTGTGTGTCAACTTGTCTATAGAGTACTCTTTGAAGTTGAGGGTGATTATGAAGACACCAGCCATTAGCATTCATGTAGGGATTTTTGTGTGACCATGAGGGTTCCACATTTAAGGCTGTGGCTGCTGGGTCATTTGGTAGGTGTGTTGAGAGGAAAGTGCTGAACTGGTTTCCACTATGGCCAAACCATCTTCTGTCCCCACCATCGATGTAAGAGCGAGTGTCCTGGCTGTCCCACCTGCCTTATCAACATTCAGTTTTACCACTGCTTCTAAAACTATTTAGGCTATTAGACTGGGCGTTTGGTATCTGGTCCTCCTTTTCCTCGCCTGTAAAACAAAGGGGAACCGTACAGGAATTCTTCTTGGGACCCTAGGGAGGAGCATCTGGAAGGCTCAAGGAGCAGCCAGTTACAGGAGGAGCTCTGCCATCTGAATTCACTGCTGGAGGCAGGGACAGATCAGATTCCTAGGGGCAGAGAGCTCTTTGTCATATTGACATGTCCTCAGTATCAGTACCCTCTGATCTCTGTGTTCACAGTAAATAAATTTTCGTTTTTGAAGGTGGAATCTTGCTATATTGCCCAGGCTAGCCTGGAAACTCCTGACCTGGAAGGATCCTCCTGCTTCAGTCTCCCAAGTAGCTAGAAGTACAGATGTATAGCACTGCATCTGGCCAGTGAGCTTACCTTAGCCAAGAGCCATGTATTGTTCTAACCAAATGACAGGTCATACTCAGCCTGCCAGACTAGAACCATTATCAGCCCTACTCTACAGATGAGGGGGTGAAGAAATGTGCTACATATGCAGCAAACTAGTGACTGAGTACAGTCTAAACCCAGAAATGATACTGCCAGATGTCACCTAAGTTCCTCCGTAGAAGAGGCAACTATGACCCCAACAAGTCCCATGCACATCACAGCCCCACTCCCCTTTCAAGTCCCTAGACTCAGACAGTCACCATGGTCCCGGAGCAGCTGTGCCATCTGGTATTGGACCAGGCCACTGAGGCCATGATAGCGACAGAGGGAGGCCACGGCAGTAGCCACATGCTGGTTTTCTGTGTACAGTATGCCAAAGCGGAGCCCAGACATCCCGAAGTCCTATAAGAAGACACATGATAGGCCATGGCCAACCCTCATAGAAGAAACTGATTCCACTCCCTCCCACCCAAACTAGCCAGGAACTCACCTTGCTGGTGGCCCACATCACATGTGTCCTCTGGGGGTCCGGTAGCCTACAGAGAGGAGAACATGGAGACATAAGCAACACAGAGCCAGAAGATCACAGAAATGCAAATGGAAATGTAGATGGATAGATGAAACTGGGTCTTGTGTCTGAACCACTGATTCGCATGCTTCCCTTAGAATGGGGGTCAGCAAACAGCCTGCAACCTACTTCTATAACTATCATTACATCAGAACGCAGCCAAGCTCACTGGTTCATATGTCTGTGGTTGAGCTGAGTGAGAAACCATGAGGCCTGACCTCTGAGCTGGAAAATATCTCTAACATTACTTCCCCAAAAGGCTTTTCTAACCAACTCCAGGACATCAGGCCAAAATAGACCCTCTCATAGCTCCTCAGCCTCCTCCATTTTAGCACTCCTTGCTACTATCATGGGAATTGATAGCTGTGTCTTTAGCTGCTGAGACCTTTTCCTAGGTAAAAATAAGATGGATGGATGGGTAGATGGATGGACAGACAGAAGGATTGACAGATGGATGAAACTGGAGCTGCTCTGAGCGATGAAGGAAACAAGAGTTCAGCTCCCCCAGACCCAATACTTCTTCAAATAATGTCAAGGCCTCTCCTTGGAACTCTTGGAAATGCCCTAGAATAATCTGAAGACCCCTGATCTACCAAATCCCTCCTAGCCTGAGGACCACTGAGATCCAATAGACATTAATGGAACTTCCCTGGGGCAGACCATGCCCTGTAGGCTGATGCAGAGAGAGGCTGGGGAAGCTGAGGAATAGTTAGGGGCTGGTAGAATCAGCTACACCAGGAGCCTCACCTTTCCAGGCTCAGGACACTGTGGTACCCAAGAGACTCTTCAAACACGGAGAGCATGTAAACCTCATCCATGATCACATGCAGCTGGTGCCTGCAGTGGACAGGCAGGAAAGAGGGAACCAAAGCATGTTACCCAGTGTTGAGCAGCAGTATGTCAGAAACCCAGAGGACCATAGGCTGGCCACCAAACTAGCTTGTCGCAGGAATACCCCACTTTGGTCTATATTTTTTACAAACAGGAAGCTGTGCACATGAAGCAGAAGACTCTAAAGCATTTGAAGCACTGAGGGAGTGGGGACAGGAGGCACCCTTGGTGTCCTCCATAAATGGACTCAGATTCATGTCTATTCCCACTCCGAGGCTCTGTCAAGCAGGGATGATAATAGTGTTCATTTCCATGGGGTTGCCGTGATGAGTACCATAGACACAGTACATAAAGTGCTCAGTTGGGAAGATGGCCCAGGCAGCAAAGTGCTGCCTTGCAAACAAGACCCAAGTCTGATGCCCAGAACCTGTTAAAAAGGCAGACCCAGTGGCATGTACTTACAATGCCAATGCTTGAGAAGTGAAGGCAAGTGGATCCCATGGGCAGTAGAGGGGGAGTTTGCCGGCCAGACAGTCTAGTATACTTGACCAGTGAAACTCTTTCTCAGAAACTACTAGAAGGCATCTAAGGAATGACCTCTGTAATCCACATTCACACATGCACATGAACAAAGGTAAACATACAATTAAATAATAAACTGGTCAGCATGGTCCTGGCCGTAGAGTGTTATTGCTGCTGCTTTAAGAAGACAGGGAGACACCAAAGCAGTGGGCTAAGAAGGTATAAGGACCTGCCCAAGACTCTTGTCTGCCCATTTCATGGGTAGACATAACTCACCTCGTGGCAAATCCCAGGAACTCCTGTAGCTCTTCAGGGGAGTAGATATCACCCAGAGGATTCTGGGGGTTGATGAGGATGAGGCCTTTAACCTTGACGCCCTGAAACCATCCATAGAGGTATTACAGTGTCCCTGTGACCCCAGAGCCTTACAAACCTACTGGATGAGGCTAATAGCTGGCTGGCTATCTGGGAAGCATGACAGGGACACTCTCATGACCCGACCAGGAGCAAATGAGTAGGATGGGAGTTATGTCTGCTGTGTTGTGCCAACTATGGAAAGGAAGCAGGCAGAAAATGGGGAAATGTGCTGGCAGAGAGGCTGCTTGTGTGGGTAGAATTCTAAGTGGGAGTTCAGGACTTTCACAGTTTCTGGAGTGAGCACTTGGCAGCTTGAATGACAAAGGCAAATGCCTCAGATGCTGAAAATGGGTGGAAAGCAAACACAGGAACTTGAGTCTCTGCCTTTATTGTGGAGCCCCTCAAAAGAGCAGGATCACCCCTCAAATTGCCAGAGACACTTATTAAACTATAGATTCCCATGATCCACATTTGACCCTGAAGCAGAAACAAAGAGATTGGGATGGGGGTGTCCTTTTCAATTATCATACTGTCATGGCTTGAATTAGAATGGCCCCCATAGGCTCATAAGTGTGAATGCTTGGTCTTTAGTGGAACTGTTTGGGAAGGATGAGGAAGGTGTGGCCTTGTTGGAGGAGTTATATCGCTTGGGATAATATTTGAGGCTTCAAAAACCCAGTGTCTCTCTGCCTGCTGCCTACAGACCAGGATGTAAAGCTCTCAGCTACTGCTATAGTGCCCTGCCCTGCCTGTCTGCTTCCTGCTATGATGATTAGGGACTAACTCCCTAAAACTGAAAGCAAACCTCCAATTAAATGCTTCCATGTATGAGTTAGCATGGTCATGGTGTCTCTTCACAGCATTAGAACAGTAACTAAGACACAAACATTCACTGAAAGCAATAATGGGCTTCCCTCTTGACATTTTCATAGGTGTGTGTGTGTATGTGTGTGTGTGTGTGTGCTTTGATCTTATCCATCCACCTTTATTACCCTTTCTTGTGAAGCTTCCTGGTTTTCTGCACACTGTGGTTTCAGGGTCATTTTCTAATGGGAAGTCCCTCCATAGACACAGGATTCTGTCTGACTGCCCCTCCCCGCCACCTCAAAAATGGTTCTATAACCCCTCCCCATATGCCTTTATCAACATTACAAGTCCAACTCCCAAGAGATGAACGGTCCAGCCCCTGCTGGGACCCACCCACTCCCAGCCCTGGATTTGACTGAATCCCCAGACCTCAGAATTAACTCCTTGCAGGGCCATCTCCAGTTTCTCCACTGTGAGCTGGAAGGGACGTGTGTTCAGTCCAGTTACCTGGGGAAAGACCCACCAAAGGCAGGAGCCAAATTCAGTGCCCCACCCCCCACCCCAAACTTGGACTTTTGGGTCTCTCCTCCCCTATCATCTCTAGTCTCCTGGGTACAGCCTCTGGAAAATGGGAGGGGTCACTTCCCTTTCTGCCTTCCACCTTGCCCTTTACATCAGGGACATCTCTTATCACTCAGATTTCTGGCAGAGGCAGCACAGCTTCTCTGATTGGCTCTCAGGACTTCCAAGGCCTGAACTTCTCCCTTTGCACCCTCTCATTTCTGGGGCTAATTTTTGGCTTTTCTATGGAGCCAGACATCTTGAAGCATGAGCCTGGAGCTTCCAGAGTGTCCAGGCAGAGCCATCCATGTGACAACAGAAGGCTCCACTTCCATTTCCCAGTATCCCCCAAAGCCCTTAGCACGACTTCCTTCAGTTCCACCCACAAACTCAGACCCAGTAAGCCCTTGTCTACAGGCTACCCAAATGCAAGAACTGGAAGGCAGGCACTCTTACCTTGCTGTCCAGGTAGACATAGGCCAGTCGGACATTGCCATAGAGATAGACATGCTGGGTAATGGCTCCATAGTAAGGGGTGGGGATCAGGAGAGCCTCTAGAGGAAGGAGCAGGTAGCCCATTAGCCTCTGGCTTAGATACTGAGACACTCATCACAAGCCCCACTGCTCTTCCAAGCCTCTGTCATCCCTGGGAAATATCTGCAGCATATTGTTGTTCCTCTCAACTCCCAAAACCTGAAAGCTTGGATCCCCTATAGTCAGGCTTTCTAACATACATGCTCACTTAAAATGGGATCACATCCAGATAAATCCACTATAAGCTGAAAATATAAAAAATGCATTTCATATACCTAACCTCCTGAGCATCCCAGCTTAGTTACCTGGGACAGGGCAGAATATTGGTGCTGACTCAAGATCTCATGGTAGCCTACATATGGAGTGGGGAGTTCACTGACACTGCCCAGTATTGCAAAAAAAAAAAAAAAAAATCACACAGCAATAGCCAGAGAACCTGTCACAATTCAAAACCCCTGAGACTAGGAATGTAGCTCAGAAGAGAGAGGCCTGGCCTTGCCTACATGAAGCCCTAGGTCTCATCCTCAGCACCACATCTGCAATGCTGCACTCAGGATGTGGGGGAAGGAGATGAGAAGTTCAAGGTCATCCTCAGTTACATAGTGAGTTCAATCAAGGCTACCCTGAGCTCATGAGACCCTGTCTTTAAAATAGGTGGTGGGGGTGGGGGTAGCTCAGTGGCTCAAAACACTGGCTGCTCCTCCAGAGAACCTGGGTTTGATTCCCAGCACCCACATGATGGCTCACAAGTGGCTGCAGCTCCAGTTCCAGGGGATCTAGCCACCACAGGCACCAGGCAACGCAAAGACACATCCAGGCAAAAGCACCCATACACAAAAAACAATAAAATTAATATAAATAAATATTTTTAATAAGAGAGAGAAACTGACAGAGTTTCTATTGAGTTTGCACAGCTTTCACACCATTGGAAGCTGAAAGTCCCTGTCCATCCACTGTGTGTCAAAGCCTCTGCTAACACTGATCTCTTAACCTGTGCTAAACAGGCTCACCACCATGCTCTGAAGTAAGCACTATTGTCAGTGAACTTTATAGACCAGGGTACTGATGCTTATAGAGAGAGTCCCTGTATTTGACTGTCCTAGAATAGATAAAAAAAAAAAAAACTGTCTATCATAGTCTCACAGCAAATCATCCTTCAGGGTTCAAGTCCTGGTGATTTTTCTGTTAATGTGACTTTGAAAAGCTACTTAACCTTTGGGCCTTGGTCTTCTCACCTCTAAAATGGGTCTAGTCAAAGAATCCACATCATAGAGGTGCTGTGTAAAGACACAGGGCCTAGCCTGGAATGCAGTATGTGGTGACAGCATGTGACCAGTGTTAACCTACTTGTTAGGCTCTCATGAGCAGGCCTCTGTTCCTTACAACAAATGACCCGTGGCCACAACCAGCTCTTAACACGCTGTCTCTTAGAGCAGGCTGCCTGTCTATTCAGTAGTTATTCAATTCTCTTCCTTGCTAAGAGAAAAGTATGATTTTTGTTTAGTTTGGTTTGCTTGGTTGTTTTGTTTGTTTGTTTGAAAGAGGACCAGCAATATGTCCAAGTCAGGCCTTCCCCAGCCATTCTGTGAACCAGCTTGGTTGAAGCTGACACTGGCTCCCTTAGGCACCTTTGCCAGGGACTCCTTTAGGTTCACAAGTAATTTCTATTCAGTGAAAGGGTCCCACTGATAGGAGAGACACTGGCTTGTTGGAACTGTCTTTCTCTTCTTGCTATAAGACATAGTGTCAGAGAAGGGTGTGACAAGGACCTGGTGAACAGGAAGGGAAAGCTAAAGAACTCAGAGGAAACAGGACCCTGATCTCATCTAAATCTCCCTGAGAATTGTAGTCCCAGATTTCTGGTCAAGCCACTCACTTAAGGATCCCGTAATTTCCTATATTCTCCTGTAGCTGAAGGCATCCTGATGCAGCTCTGATGCCAGGCGACTGGGATCATAGCCCAGCACAGCCATGGTACAAAGCCAGGGGGTGGGGCACGGAGTCCACTTACCTCCTGCCTCACACAGCACTGTGGCCAGGGCCGAAAAGAGAGAGGCACAGCCATTCAGAACAACCACCTGGGGGTGACAAGAGACAAGGTGGCCCTGTCAGAGGCAGAGAGGAGCAAGGACCAGGGCAAGGGCCAAGCCTCTCCCCATTGCCCTGGGGATCCATCCTGAAGAAGGTCTCTCTTGGTTCTCAGCCAAGCTTATTTCTGAGGACCCTACTCTTGATCAAGTGAACAAGAAACAGAACGATCACTCTAGGGGGTCTCTCATAAAGGTGAGGAGGTCAAGAAGTCCACAGCACAATAGGGTTGGGATGTAAAACTAGATGAAAGGCAGACCCCAAGCGCCCTCCAACCTAAGGAAGGAGTAACTCACGTTCTCTGGTTTGAGGGGTGCTGGGCTCTTACAGTAGAGAGACAAGAAACGTGCCACTTCTTCCCGGAGGCTAGGATAGACCAATGTGCAACACTTGTCAGAGGGTTCTCAGCCCAGTCTACTCCAGAGCCCTCTGGGAACCCCACAGGTGGCTGGATGCCACAGCTCCGTCCTCCCATTCCAGGAGGTGAATGTGGCAGGCACTTGTCTCCACTGCAGCACACCCTCCCCATCCAGCCACAAAGTATTCACTCTGAGTGGTTCTAGAACACCCAGCCCCACCCTCTCAATCAGGAGACAGATGAAAACTAATGCTACATAGATCTAGCTGGTGATAGCTGATAATAAACCTCATCATAATAGGAACTGTTACCATGGCTCCTACTGAGTTTCAACATTACACAAATGTAATTTGGAGAAGTTCCATGGTGACTATCATTCCCATTTTACAAAGAAACAGAGGTTTGGGAGAATTAAATCACTTGCTGGTGAGAGGCAGAGTTCATGAACAAGCCCAGCAGCCTGTCCCAGGTTACCATCCTGATAACCCTTTTCTAAGACTATGAGCTTTGTAATACATCTCGGGTCAGGTCCTGCTGGGTCACTAATCCTGAGAACAGTTTCTGACCCCCAGCAAATAATCAGTATACAGCAATCTATCATCCCTTGACCCATCTTACTATTGAGAGTGAGTCCCAGCCAGTTCCCCAGATACCATCTGTCATCTCTAAAGCTACTAGAAAATCAAGGACAGTCTCCTCACTCACCTCAGACTTAGGGTCATGGGATCCAAGCTGGGAACTCCAGGATGGATCTGGGCCTGGCAGGACAGCCCCTGATCACCAGGTCTCCACAACTATGTTCAGCCTACAGCCAGCTCCCTCATTCTGCCTCTACTGATATTGTGGACAGAACAATTCTTTGTTGAGAAACTTCCCTGTGCTTTGTAGGTTTAACAGCACATCCTTGACCAGCAGAACTTTCTCCCAATTATACCAACCAGAAATGTGTCCAGGCACTATGGTACCATCCTGGGGTCAGCATCGCCTCATATTGAGACCCACCAGCCTGTGGCAACTACTTACAACAAATGTCCCCTCCAGTCAGGGTACTGCAGCAGGGATGGCTCCACGTGAAGCATGTCACTCTGTGTCAGCTGGGGACACAAAGGAAACAGGAGCAAGGCTGAGGGCCAGCACTGCCATCCGAATCTGCACAGCATGAAGGCCTTCAGAACCTTTGGTTTTTTGTGCTTCTCAGGGAAAGTGACAGGAGTACAGGACAGCACTCCCGGCATTTCACAGACAAGCAAATCAAGGCTCACAAAGTGAAGGCAAGACCACCAAGCTAGCAAGTGGCAGGGCTAAAACCGTATCCAGAACTTCCGACTCTGGCTCGGGGTGGGGAGGGCACACTGCTCCATTTTCCCAGAGGTCAGAGGAGGCTCCAGAGCTGGCTGGTGTGAACTTGGCCTTAGCTCCAACTTTAGAGGGGACGCAGGACACTGTCTCCTGCAGGTCCTGCTCAACCTCACCCTCTGTATACGGCAGCAAATTTTACACCATCCCTTGAATAGGCAGGTACTTGATTAGTGACACTGGAGCATCATGGCTATAAGGTCAAAGAGAGCCATTACCAGTGTCCTTGGGCAAGGGAACCAGAAAAATTGGAACCATCTACTTCTCTAAGCCTGGGTCCAGACATTTCTCTCCCTCCTGTTGCACCCTATAACAGGTTCAACATCAAAGCCAATGATATTGGTGGCTACACACCACTTACTAGGTCACTAGTCTGAACTGTAAGACTCATAAAAGTAAGTATTAATAGAGGCCAATAATTATGTATTTATTACCAGCTGAAATGGTCATATTTTAGATATATTGAAATATTACTGAAATCAATTTTAGTTATTTTTACTTTTGGAGAATTGAGACATGCTCTTGCCATGTAGCCCTGGTTCTCTTGGCACTTACACTGAAGCCCAAGACGGCCCTAGACTCACAGCACTCCTCCTGACTCAGCTTCTTGGGTACTGGGTTCAATCCCCAGCCCCTACATGGTAGCTCACAACCATCTGTAACTATAGTTCCAGAGTGCCAGACTCCTTCTTCTGGCCTTAGCAGGCACTGGGCATGTACCTGGCGCACACACGTATGCAAGCAAAACACCCATATACATAAAATATATTTTAAACAGAAATCTGATGAAATTTTAAGGAATTTTACAAACTGGATTAGAAACAGCCATAGAAGCCAGGCTTGATGGTGCAGCCTGTAATCCCAGCCACACCTGAGGCTAAGGTAGGAGAATTATAAATCCAAGGCCCATCTGGCAGAATAATTCAACATCAGCCTGAGCGACTTAGACCTTGACTTAGAATAAAAAGGTAAGGTGGTTTAGCTTGCCTAGACTGTGTAAGTGCTAGGTTCAATCCCCAGTGAAGAAAAAAATAATTGACAGGAGGGAAGAGAAAAGGAAGGAAGAGGAGGGGAGGGAAAGGAAAGGGGAAGGGAGGGGAGAGAAAAAGAGAGTGGGGGAGGGAACAGGAGGGGAGAGGATGGAAGGGAGAGAAGGGGAGGAAAGGAAAAGAGAGGAGAGGAGAGGAAGGAGAGAGGAGAGGAGGGGAAGGGAGTGGAGGGGAAGTGGAGTTAGTCTCAAGGCAAACTTGGAATCCATGTCTCCCAGCTCTTACTGGTGGGGACCCCTGAGGCATGCAGCAAGCTACTGTGGCAAAGGATTCAAGAAGCCCCTGGTGGTTGCAGCCCTAGTACTCACCCGCCTAGACAGAAGGTCAAAGCAGAGTTTGTTCTCACTGGTGCCCAAGTTAATGATGCCCTGCAGACAAAGTGGAGAGGCAGGGTGAGCAGGACAAAGGAATGCCAACAAAGAGCCTGGGGAAGCCACAGTCGGCAAAGTGGGCACCAATCCACCCTCCTACCACTCTCTCTGTCTTTCCTCACTGGGCTCCAAAATCCCACCTCCCATTTCCAACACTGTCTAAGCTTTCCCACAAGCCCCGCAGGAAGCACTCTTTGAGTCTTGGGGTCCCACATCTCTTTCCACCACTCCCCTGCCCTTAGAAAACCACTCAATTTCTGCTCCACTGCACGGGGATGAGCTCTAGCTCCCTGGGGGCAAATTCCAGAAACATTATTATAGAATGAAAGGAGCTGCATACTATAAATCACACTCTGTTAGGACCAAAAACAAGGGTGAGGTGCTCAGGAGACCCCCTCCCCCATGTCAGTGTAAATTATTCCCTAGGAGGTCCAGCTAACAGGGCATAACCTGTTTTGGGACATTAACCCAGAAGGTGTTAATCCTAACAGGAGACACAGACTCCTGATCCCTGCCTTATGTGGCGAGTGAAAGAAGCAGAAAAGACAAATCAATTAAACTTGAACAAGCTGAGAGTTCGACAAATAAAAGGCAATGCTCTGTTTCCTCCAGACACAGCCATCCCATCTCCAAATCCTACAGCCCTACAGTCACAGCACATTCAGTCAGCCACTTGCTATGCCCCACTGCTGAGAGCCTAGTGTAAGTCCAGATTCCTGCCCAGATCACTGCCATAGCTCCTACCTCCTAGCTTGTCCACTCCCTCACCTGCCACCGGGTTTCCATATGGAAGTCCAAGATGTCTTAAAAAAAAAAAACCTGAAATTGCATCATGCATGATGCTCTTCTCCTGAATACTTTCTACCTACCCCTGTCTACAGAAAGAACTGTCACCATGTCCCATGAGGCCCTACAACACCCATAGCCTTTCTGACCACATCACCCACCAGTCTGGCTTTACCACTGGTTCCTTTGCTGACCCTTGATCTGATCAGGCATAGTTCCCACCTGGGGCCTTTGTACTAGTTATTCTCTCTGCTGCACAGCTCCTGGTAGCCTCTACCCTGGCACCCTGGGTAAGAGACTGAGTCTGCCAACTGCTCCTGATAGAAAGAACATGCAAAAATGATGGGATGTCACTTCTAAGGTTGGGTCATAAAAGTGTGTAGCATCCATCTTAGGTTCTCATGATCTCTCGTTCGTCTTGCGTCATCTGCTCCACAGGGAGTTAGATGCCATATCTGAGGCAGTTCCAGGAAAAAGTCCATGTGGAGAGGTACAGGTGGCCACCAGGAGCCACAGAAGTGAGTTTGGAGATGGAACCTCTCACCTGTCCAAGTCCCACCACCCAGACAAGCTTTCAGATGCGATCACAGCACCAGCTTCAGGGTAATGCAACAGAAAGTACTGGTCCTCAACTCCAGCAACTGGAAAATGTTTGCTAGGTAAGTTGTTGAGATTTGGGGTGATTTGTTACAGCAATGGATAATTAACACAATCTCTCACTTTTTTCTTCAAGCCTCTGTTCTAATGTCACCCAATTAAAATAGCCTTCAATGACATCCTATGTCAAACAGCAGCATTTCTCAGCAGACCATCATCATCTGTCCACCTCATGCTGCCTTCACTTTCTCCATAGTGCCTAACAATAAATGTTATATGTATTTTTCATCTATCTATCTCAACTAAAATATAAATACATACAGAAAGGTTTGACTTTTGCTCACTGTTATGACACCAGTACCTAGAATAGTTGCTGATACCTGGTGGATGCTCAACAGATTAAAACTATTAATAAGGGTTATTGTACAGTTCTTTGCCAAATTATTATGTATAATAGAGTATGGTCATCATGACAGATGATATTAATAATAATAGCATCCTATATGTATTTATCAAGCATCCTATATGACAAACATTAATTTCACAATCCTAGTCTCATGTCTACACAGCAGACATTACCAGCCCATCTCAGAGATGACCTGCCTACACAGCAGACATTACCAGCCCATCTCAGAAATGAACGGCCTACAGAGGCAACATTACAGCCCTCTTGAAGCTAGAGCATCATAACTCCAACCTGACAAGAGCAAGCTGGGTGCTGGATGCCCTGCCGCTAGTTTGCTCTTGGGTCCCAGTGGGAAGGGGTCTTCACTCACACTGGGGTTCTTGTCCTCATCATACTCATCCATGTGGTAGGTTCTGTAGCCCTCCTCAGCTGAGTCCCAGAACCATTTGATGACTCTTCCTCTAGAGGACAGGCAGGAGCTGTCAGAGGAAAACATGGCCATGGGGTCACCCACTCCATAGAGTCTGGGCTGTTTCCGGTCTGGCTTTCTGAGGCATTCTCCTTGCAGAACATCACCATGGCCACTGTCCATGTCCCGAGCAGAGGTTGAGTCTGAAGGTGTAGTAGATGCCGTGGATTCCCTCTGAGGAAGAGAGAACATCTACCAAAACACAAATGTACAGGCCTGGTGAAGGGCTTCTGCTCATCCTTTTTGTGTGTGTGTGTGTGTGTGTGTGTGTGTGTGTGTGTGTGTGTGTGTGTATGTGTGTGTCTGTTTGTCTGTCTGTCTGTCTGTCTGCCTGTCTTTCTATATGTAGGCTCAAGAACAGCCTCTGGTATTGTTCTGGGAATTTTCCACCATGTTCTTCTGAGACAGGGTCTCTCCCTAAGCCTGGTGTTTGCAGACTGGGTTAGACTGGCTAGCCAGTAAAGCCCAGAAACTTGCCTGTCTTCACCTCCCCATCTCTGGGATTATGAGAGTGCATATCTGGCTATTTTTATGTGGGTTCTGGGGATAAAATTCAGGTCTTCATGACTACAAGGCAAGAAAAGATTTTAATGACTGGACACTTTATAACCAGGGCTGGTTACCCAGTCTTCCCCCCTCCCCCCCCCCCCAACACCCTGAGGTCGCCTTGAACTCTTGGGCACAAGTGATTTCCTTTCTCAGCCTCCAGAGGAGCTGAGACTAAAGTGACCTCCACACAGATATCTCCCTCTTTTTTGAAAGTTTGTCTGCTCATCCCCCTTGTTCCTATCAAGTTAAACACTTCAACAAATAAATCTATTAAGGATCTATGGATACCACACTATGCTTGCTACATATAAATAACTTTAATCTACTGTAGCATTAGCTTGCTCCATTTCTGCATCTGTTTCTCATTCTGCAGCTTCGGGGTCACCAACAATCTTTCCCTACCCTTACTTACCTCAATTTCAAAACACCAGGCTATTTTCCAAGCAGATCACTGCCCTGGTGCTGGATCTCTTGTGTGACAGATGATCTGGAACTGGTGGGAACCAGTGGGAGGGGATAGTAGGGGGTCACAAATGCACTCCCAACTCCACCACAAAGGAGGCAAGAGCCCCAGAGGAGGGTCTCCTAGCTGCCAACAACATAGGAGCTTCCTAAGCAGCCCTCATTCGTGCCTCACTTATGCTCTGGTGGGACCAATACCCACCTCAAAAGGCAACCGTGAGGATCTGAGAGCGACAAAGTACTTATACCAAATCCTGGCTGGTGGCCAAATGAGTCACTGAAATATGAGTCACTCTATCACAAATGCTCTCGATTTCCCTGTCTTCAGGTACAAGTCTTACTTGATGGAAAGGATGGCTGATGATAAATGGGGACCCAGAAACTGCCACGCTGTCAATTTTGCTTTGTAAATCTCGGGGCCTCCTCAAAGTAGCGGGACTTCGGGGAAACACACAGCTCCACAACAGCCCTGCCGGGGCTTGGGTGGGCGCAGCCAGAACCCAGCAGGAACGAAAGGCAGTGGGGGGGGGGGGGGGACTCAATCCCGCCTAGCGATCTAGCCAGCCCAGTGCTTGCAACCAAGGCAAAGTGTGGTCTGCAAGGCCCGCCCGCGTTTTCCTGGCTCTCAGAGCCTGTGTGACTGCACTCAGGACTTCCAGACCCAAAACCTGTATCAGTCAAGAGCACTGGGCAGCCAAGCCGGCTCCTTTGGTTCACAAAGGGAAGGGATCGCACCTACTTTGGGCTTCAGCTTTCGGGTTTGGCGCGCGATATCCTCTGGGCCCGACTTCCGGATCGCTGGGCCAGCCTGCCCCCTGGCGACCAGAAGAGGATGTAGGGGAAGGAGCCTGCGCCCTCCCTCCAGAGTGCAGGTTTGGAAGCTCTGGGCTTCAACTCCTCTAGAAACAGGAGTCTGAACTAGGAGAAGGAGTAGGGACAGAGGGATAGAGATCTTGGCCAAGACAAGACCATGTCCTCTCCGTTTCTTCTCTCATTGGCCTGAGCTCAGATCCCTAGCATTTTGGAAATCCTTGGTTAGAGCCATGTGATCATGGAAGTTTCTTCCCGGTTAAGGAAAATAAAAAATAAATTAATTAATTTTAAAAAAGGAAGGTATCCTCTTAAAACATCATTCCTCCTGAGTGTCACCTGTGCACGTGATCTCCCCGCCACCCATTTGCACAGGCTTCCCTCAACCCCCGAAAATAATTACTTGGAGGGAAAAAAAGATTTACAAAAGAAAAATAGAAAGTTATCGACATGTATAATCACATGGCACACACGGGAATGAAAAGCCCTCAAAGGGGTGGGGGGGCTTCTTTGAATTCCAGTTTATACAAAATAGATTTTTAGAGGTATGAGGAGACAAAAGGAAAAGTTCAATACCCAGTACAAGCAAGCAGACAACAAGAAGTCAAAAATGAGTAGTTTTCATTGTGGGCCTCCCAAAGGTTTGTTGAGTATAAATACCAAATCCAACGTCTCCACCTATTATTTATGCAAGGAAACAACCTCTTGTCTAGCACAGATCGTGAGGCTTAGACTGATAAATAATGTATTTATACAAGTATAATACAATCATCTATTAGCTTCTCAAATTAGATCAGGAACACAGTCGAGCCTTAGGTAGTTCAACAACAGCTAGATTCATACAGGGGACACTGAGAAGCAGTGAATGCTCAGGTGACAAGATACCTCAGGAGTTTCTGTCATGAAGGTGTGTGGTTTGAATGACAATAACCTCCATAGACTCATATATTTGAATATCTGTTCCCTAGTTGTTAGAATATTTTTAAGGATTAGGAAGTGTGACACTGGGGGGGTGACCTTTGAGGTTTCAAAAGCCCATGCCACCAGGCCCAGTCTCTTTCTCTGCCTGCTGCCTGAGGATCAGGATGTAAGCTCTTAGCTACTGCTCTAGCACCAAGCCTGCCTGCCTGCCTGCCTGCCTGCCTGCCTGCCTGCCTGCCTGCCTTCACACCCCCTACCATACTGGTAGTAGACAACACTCTGAAACTGTGAGCAAGCCCCTAATTAAATGCTTCCTTTTATAAGTTGTCTTGGTTATGGTGTTTCATCACAGCAATAGGACAGTAACTAAGACAGAAGTAATCATCGTCTAATATAGAGTATAAGGTTTCTTCCATAGTCAGGATTCACAGGAATCAAGGAGTAGAAAGAGGAATGGTTCCACTCACTATCATCTCTAGTGACTGATTTCCACTAGGAAAATTGTTGCTTCCTGTTTCCAAAACCTTGAGTTCTGTTGGCCCAGAAGTTTTAGTGTCAGATGGGGGAACACTCCTGCCTGGAGATACAACAAACATTGACCTGGAATCTCAAACTTCTTCCTGGCCACTCTGAGCTTCTGATGTCCTTAAGCCAACAGGCTAAGAAAGAAACAAGTGTTAGGCTAGGTGATTGATCCAGATTACCATGAGGAATTGGATTGCTTCTCCACAATGGAGGGAAAAAAGATTATATCTGGAGATCTTTCTAATGGTTTGAAAGAAAATGGCCCCCAAAGGGAGTGGCTCTTGTTAGGAGGTATGGTTTTGTTGGAGTATGTGTGGCCTTGTTGGAGGAAGTGTGTTGCGGTGTGGGGCAGGCTTTGAGATTTCCTATGCTCAAGCTACACTCATTGTGGCACACAGTTGCCTCTACTGCCTGTGAATTAAGGTGTAGAACTCTCAGCTCCTTCTCCAGCACCATGTCTACCTGTACACCACCATGAAAATAATGGACTAAACCTCTGAAACTATAAGCCAGCTCCAATTAAATGTTTTATAATATTTTCCATGATCATAGTGTCACTTCACAGCAGTGGAAACCCTAAAACAGTTCTTTAGGGTGTCTTGTGAGGCTACCATGTCCTCATTAAAGTCAATGGGAAACTACAGCAGCCTAATCCAGGCAGGATGACAGAGGGCACAGACCCATCAGGAATGAAGAAAAGAACCAAGACCTGTTGAGGTGCTCCATGAAGGTGGAGGAAATACAGAAATGGTAGTAGAGGAAGGTAATCATAAATACCACTTGCTGCAATGAGGATTTTGATTGACATGAATGTTGCTGCCATATTTTGTTAAGAACAGGTTTGTACAGGTATTTGTTTCTTTTCACCTATTTCTTTTTCATGTAATGTAACATCAATTAAGATAATATCAGTGATTACCATATTTAAGTCATGAGATACTAAAAGAATGCCCCTCAATGGATATTGCCGCTTGATTTAAAATATAATGTGTTTGCTTTTGTATGTGGGATAGTTATGTTAGGTGTAGTCATGCTCTTATTTTTGTTTTCACTTGAAAATTAAACATAAGATATAATTGTGTGTCAAACTGACTTGCAATGGCTATTCTTGGCTGACAACTTGACTACATTTGGAATTAACTAAACCCAAGCAGCTGGGAACATTTGTGAGGAATTTTTAGTCAATTGAACCATTTGAAGTAGGATCTTATGACAGCCTCTATAGCAAAGAAAACTTTGCTTTTGCCTGCTTGCCCCCATTCTCGTCTCCCTGGAAGCTCATATATACTGCTGCTGAGGCCCGCCTTCCCTGGCATTAGAGCCTATTTCCTGGGAATTCTGAGGTATACTGAAGCTGAGACATTCAGCCTCGTGAACTGGACAGCCATTGGATTCTCAGACTTTCCATCAAGAGACATCCATTATTGGACTGGTTGAAGCACAGCCTATAAGCCACTCTAATAAATCATTTTATATAAGTATATATGAATCTATAATGAAATATGTATTCTATTAGTTCCGTCCCTCTACAGAACCCTAATATGGAAGGCCTGGAATTCTGGGAGAGCCACTGATCTTTAGTCCACATGGGAAGGCTAAGGAAATTTGGCTTTGATGTTAGTGAAAGGTGGCAGCAACAACAGTAGCAGAG